GCGCGCGCGCGCGCGCGCGCGCTCGATGTGTTCGGTACTTGGCATCGTACAGGTTAGTTACATTACGTTATTCCCTTATGAGAAAATAAAATCGTGCACTTTATTGCGAAAGTAAATTAAACTCCACCTCTGCGAAATACTTTTTATACTTTTCCCCCAAGTTTTCAACTGCTCTAAAAATCCACGGGAACATTGATCGCGATATAAATTTCAATCGAATATTTTCGTGCTCTTGCCCGCTGCTACCACCGGCCGAAAACTTTCGCTACCAACTGTACGTTTATAACCTAACTCTTGCACGGTCGCACGTTTCACAATTTCAAATAATAACACGAGCAAACTTTTTATACCTAATAACGAGAAAGTAGTATATGTATGAAACCAAGGACTGCAAACGAACACGAGAGACCTTGGTAATCGCATTTCGTTTTCTAATCTCCATATACGAATTCATAACCGAAACGAAGTGAAAAATGCTTTTCTAAATTGTATTTCAACGTAGAAAAAGGACAATCGATCTAACGGTTCCAACTTTTCAGAACAATGTCACTTTGGTGGCACTAATAAATCGAATTAACGCGAGGGGAAGCAAAGTAAATATATTTCCCAGGAAACCAGACATTTTCAAGCGTATCGGGTATTCGTCAACAAAGTTTCGTTTGCGTCCTTTATTAATTCGATTAAACGTAGGATCAATTGGCCAAAACTTTGAGCGGGCTTCTCTTTCTACCTCCTTCTATGTTCTCTCCCTTCTGGTCCTGGTAGTTTCCACGCGCGCGCGCGCTCACGCGCCCTCCCTTTTCACTTCGAATCTGTTTTCCCCCACTATTACTATTAACCCTTACCGTGTATTTCCCTTTTACTTTGTTTGCCCCCTTAATCTTTCATTCCGCGTGACGTCTAAGCTGAAATCTCGTAAATACGGGCAAACTTAAGGCGAGTTCAAAAGGTCTTTCATACTTGAATGTTGCTTCGTTTTCGAGAAAAAAATTTTACGAGCGTCCCTATACAAGTTTATTGACGCTCCGAGTACCTCTTTTGAGACACGGATACTCTACTTCTGTAAACCTTCCGTTCCTACCTTTTCCTTTTTTCTTTTTTTTTTTTTTTACCTATGTTCTCTTCCTTTTTAAAGAGAACCACATTTTTTCTCTCTGTTTTTTTTTTCTGCTTTTAACAACGATGACACTTTTTCGATGTTTTCATTCCGTTGCACATTTTATTTTCGTAAAAACTCTACGAAAATCACGGTGAAGTACATAACTGTTTCAAGCCGTCTGATTGAAAGAAAATCTCTAAAAACGACCACGACCATTCGCGAATTATAATAATAATAATCTCTCCTCTAATTCATACGCGATTCACGGGACGAGCACTGAAATGCGGTTACCGAGCACGAGCGAGAGAGCTTTCAATTTAATTTAAAGAACAGTTACATCTCAAATATTTCAATTTGATCACAGCCAGCATTACAGTCCAATTTCAATTTCATAAATTGCAGTAATAAATGTTCACTGACGTAGTTGTCCGCGGTGGCCACAGACTACGAGCAAATATCAGTTAATTACAATTTGCATAATACACTCGAAACTGTTCAATTCTAATTCAGGCTCGCTATGGAATCAGGTGCATTACTCCCATATCTGTTATTATATCGTAATTTTATTAGACCTATATTAAAATCAATACCTTTCGAGCGATGAATATTAAATTTTATATATGTACGTACGTATACTCTCGTTTAGTGTATATTAAATGAATACAGTCGAAAAACCTTTCCAATCTTCCGATCAATCAGCAAAATTAATTAAATGGCAAAAGAAGAAAAAGAAGAGAGAAAAGAAAGCACATGAGGTAAAAAAAAACGAAAATTCGTAAAACCATTCGGGATGAATGGGAAAAAATTGACACGAACGAAAAGTAAGACGTCGCTGCCATTAATCGACCGGTAATCACCCTGTGGAAAATCAAATTTATTACTAGTCGGCACCGACGGCCAAGAACGAAGAAAGAGAGGAAAGGAATACAGAGAGAATGAAGAAAGCAAGAATAAAGAGAGGGAAAGTTCTTTTCGTTGGGCGCACAATAGCAAATCTGATTGCAAGAGGATTAGCAGAACGTCCCTCGTTACGAGGCTGCACATTCCGATTTAATTTGATTCAAGCTGTATAAAGTAACGTCGGACAGGGCCAGAGGGCACTGCGGTTTCTGCCGAATGTGCCTGTTCCATGTTCTATAAGATACAGAAATGCACTCGTCGCTATCTGAATAGAGGGAGACAGCGCATTGGCCCAATGAACAAACGTATTTTAACCACCTCTCAACGCTTTCAATCGATCGATGGAAATGCTGTTTCTCTTTTCCCCCACGCCCGCTCGATTTCAATTGCCCGTTATTATGTTCTTCGTTTCAACTATTCGACAAAATTGTGGGAATTGCACGCTATTCGTTCGTGTAACTGCCACTCCTATATGATTCATGGGATTTTATACGATTTCAACGGAATTACATACAGTGTATCACGAAAGTATTTCAACACTTACCACAGGAAAATTTATGCGCGTATTGTACTGAATATTTCGAAATTTTATTAACACTGTATAACGAGACACGATTGTCGTTGTTATATTCGTAAAATTTGAAAGCGATCTAAAAATGTATATACCAGCTACTCACTGCATATATATATATATATATATATATATGAATTTACCTTAGTCGAAATCTAGTATACAGCATGAATAGTCATCTTGAATATATAAATGTTAGAGATGGGGTCCTATTGAATATTCAGGCTCATTAGTATAATGGATAATTGACTAACTCGATCCAAGTCAATGTTACTTAAAAGTACATACGAATTATTTTCGTGAGCCATTATGTATGTATGTATGTATGTATTACATATATGGCCACGTTCTTAAAATGTACACGAAACGATTCATTGCATTTTTCATTTGGACAATTTATTTTCCTTCTTCTCTATGCATATTTCGTTTCATTTCAAAAATCGCTTATTTTTTTTTTTTTTATTTTCCGAAAAAAAAAAAATCGTAGAAACGCTGATTTCTCGTCAACCGATATTGGAGAATCAGGACCATCGATTCAATTCGTTGCAGTTGCATTCAAACATTTCACGCAAACATTCTACACTACCGTAAGAATTGAAAACTATTTTCCAAAATGCTTGTGTAACATATTTTATGGTAGTAAATTCTCAGAAATCACTCTCGAAATTACAGTGATACTGCTACAATAGTTCGTTATGTTATTTTCATTGACAGTTATTTTTATCTAAGAATTTTCCTTAAGCTTCAAGGTTCGTATCCATCCTTCTTCTTCTCGTATATACGTGCGTCGCAAAATAAGAACTACGACTCTGTAATCTAAATAGAACTCACACGGTTATTGCATAAACATGCGCGGCCCGATTTATCAAAGCTGAAACAGGATTGGCGAGCACACGCACGTTCGTGCCCAAGGGTAAAAGGGATGTACTCACTTTTGATGAGAGTAACTTGCGTCCCTTTATACGTCAATCTCTCTCGCATAGAATACAGGAATAATCAAATACGTATCTATTTTTTCGATTAATACAGTCATTGTTGCAACAGTCGTTGTTCGGTCTTTGGTTTTATACACTTTAACGAGAAAGCTGGAAGGCCAAACGATATAATTCAACGAGGTTACAAAAAAAAAAAAAGAAAAAAAAAATTACAAGAATTCAAAATTAAAAATTAGTAATAAAATAAGTTTAACAGTAGAATTTTAACTATACTTTTTAATAATATATTTTATTCTAGGTTTAATAGTACTGATAATGACGACGATGTCTATCTTTGATTCTTTTTAATTCATTAAGAAGTTAGTTTGCTCGTTTCTACGATCCAGGCGTATAAAAGTTTCTCTCCAAGAAACGGGGAAACGTTTCGAGAAATTTATAAACAAAAATTTCTACCTAACAATCTTTTAAACGGCCGTACGTAGTTAGACTGGATCCTATATTTAAAGTAAAGAGTTTTATATTAAACAACAGTGGAACGAGGATGAGCAATGGGACACGCGCTTCGTGCGATATAAAATTTTCAATGCGATAACCGTCACAGTAATTTCGCTGGACACGCGATCACCGAGCACGGATTTTGTAGGCATTCCTCTGTTTTCCGCGTAAACACCAAGATATCTGACCGATTTTAATTTCGATATATATTTCCTCTTCAAATAACTGTCCGATTTAATTAATTGTAAATATATATATATATATATATATACATATATTTCACAAATGAAAACCGCACATCAAAAGCATAACACAAATCACACGAGTATTTTCATGTTTACGTTTTATGTTTAGTTTACGAGAGTAATTTACAAATATGTATAATTTATAGTTCGTATAAATATAACTTATATTTATTCATAACGCAAGAGCAATTGCTAAAATTCAATATGTTGTCGAGTTCCCAATTCCGAATCAAAATTACTTTTCCATTTGATTTTGGGATTAAACGCGTGCTTCTACCATTCTCTCCAACATTTCAAAAATATC